AATCCCTTATACTACTCTGAGATAGCTACAAGTAAGCTTGCTTCTTTATGATTTGAAATTGCATAAATAATAAATGACATTTCCTTCTTAGCCATCTTCATAAAAGCCATTGCTCCCAGAAATAAGGACTTTGTTGTTGATAACTTCTTGATAGGTTTTTTCCAAAAGAATTCTATAAAAAATTCAATCTTAAAAAACCTCCAACATATAGATGGATTATATCTTTTTAAACATAAAAGTCTTAGAATGATAGGATTAGATAATATTCTAATAATATTAAATATTATTTTACTACAATGGCCTCTAAATAATATTTGTAGTGGTATGATCTTATAAATAACATTGCTTCAAATTAAAGATCGATCATCTGTTACTTCTACATATACAAAATTTGACTTTTGTACTAAAATAATTTTATGAAGTTTAAAAAAATCTTCATCTAAAAAGCAAGCACATACTCTTGAATCTAATAAGGCATTTGTTTGAAGTTTTTGTAGGCCAAGAAATAAAAATATAGTAAAATAATGAACATGTTTGATAGAAAAAAAAAGATCTTAATGAATTTGAAGTATTGAAATGTCTAGCTGCACAATTTTCATTATAACTAGGTATCTTTGTTTTCTCACATAATTGTTCTTGTAGTCTTGGTTGTATGTTGTTTCTTTGTATGATTTCCAAATTTATGACCTTCATTACAATATAAGTATGGACCTTATTGAGATCAACATTTCTTATTTTTTGTTATAAGAGGTTTGAATTGTATTACATAAATTTGCATATCCTTAGCTTTGAAGTGTAGAAATCATGTATTTGTTGAATAGCAAAATACAAACTTTTAGTGAATTTTTTTATCAAAGTCTAGGAGCTTTGAACTTACCTTTCTTGAAATAATTAATTATTACACTTCACAACTTAGCTAATAGCTTCATTGAATATTTGAAGATTAAATAATGATAGTAATACATCTTTCACATCATCTGTTAATCTCCAATAGAATTGATTCATGAGAGCTTGTTTATTTCAATTGATGTTACAAGCTAATTGTTTAAAATTACATGCATAAATTCATAAAAAATATGATCTTTGATGTAATAAACAAATCTTTGTTATTGCCAATGAAGCCTCATCATGTTTTTCAAATGCTTCTACAAATGCTTCTAAGAAACCTTAAAAGTTACTTAAGATTAAAAATCTCTTTTTAAATAAAAAAAAAAATCAAAATAAGTCTTAACTTATGAGGAAGGTTCCTACTAAATCAACTCATAATTTCTCTATTGGATAACACTCAGATTGTAAAAAAGTTATCAATCGAATTTAGTTAATAAATCCTTGAAATTTTGAGGATTTACCATCAAGTTTTTTTTGAAATCTAATCCAAAACTCCTTATGTTATTGAATAGGTAAATTTTCTTATTGAGGTATAGGTGCCATTGCCTCCTTGGATGTAGAAGCTTGAAAAAGTAGTTGCATCATAAGTTGACTTGCTTCAAGTCTTATGTGAGTATAAAATTCACTCTTTAATCTAATTACAAGATGGCCTCAAATAAGATTTGTTTATAATATATGGTATAAAGTTAAAGTAGCAAGAATAAGAATAAAAGAAGAAAAAGACAAAACAAGTGGAATAAGTACAATTAAGCAATTGTACACTACAAAAGTAGTCATAGTCTATTTACTGAGTTTTTATCTAATAAAAAGTAAAAAATAAAAATAAAAAATAATTTTTAGAATTTTTTTTTATCTTTTCAATGGTATAAGAAACATATAAATCCGAGTTACAATGAATAAGTTATGAAGGTTTAAAAAATAACAAGTAATTAAATAAAAAGTTAAATAAATAATTTTTACTTCAATTATAACTTGCATAAGAGATCAAGAGTTCGAACCTAACTAAGGCTCATAAGTAGTGTATATGGATTCTTGAGAGAGGCCATGAGGCCTTAGACTTATCTTCCTAACTACCTTCAAGGTGCTACAACCCATATGGAACTTGTGCACCTCCCTTCTTATAGGGACTATACTAACTGCTGGTCTTTCTATTTTCTACTATTAAACTCCATAATTTTGTATTTTTGAATTTACCATAGTATTTAAAAACATCCAATTAGCCTCAAAGCCTAGAGTGGCCTTCAAATCTTGCTCCATTTCTTCATAATGGTTCCTCAAGTGGTAAAATTTATTTTTATCTAAGTCTTAGAAATTACTCTAAAAATTCCTAAAAAATTCTAAATAAATTTTAGATAAATTTTAAAATTCTTATAATGATTCTATTATATTAATATCAATTTAAGAATATAATTTCCTATCTTGATGATTTTTATAGTAATAAAATAAATTTAAATCTATTATAAATCCTACTTTCTATATAACTAACTAAAAAGACATGAGGTTCTTTTTCAGACTTCTTCTAACTACTAACTAATATTTATAGTTTTTTTTATAAGTAATATATATAGATAGAAATCCAATATAAATATTGACCTTAGTAACTAATCCTCACTACTCAACAATAAGTAAAAATCCTAAACCAACTAAAATAATTACCTTCAAGACTTACTAAGATTCTATTTTTTCTCCACTAATACTATTCTCTTTTATTTAACATCCTCTAAGTACATCTTCACCTAAAAATTATAATTTTGATACTCTACATACATTCTTTTGTCCTAAAACAATTAGTAAGTCAATTTGATGACTCATATCTTACATCACTATGAAATCTTGCAAAGAACTCTTCAATTTTAACAGTTTTATGAACTAAAGCATTTATTTTGTTCATAATAACATCTAATTTGGATTTGAGAGATTCAACCATAATAACATCTTCACCTCCAACCATTCTAAAAGAAAAAAATAAAAATAAAAATAAAATCTAAATAATATCAATTTAGATAAAGGTGCTCCACAACCTCTAAAGCACTTAGATGCCTTCAAAAAGAATGGTAATCTATTTTCTATCAAGAAAAAGTAAGCTTAAGTATTGATAAGAAATCAATCTTGATAAATTATCATGGATATTCTATAAAAAAAGACTAAATAAGAAATTGAACAAAAGAATTCAATAAGAAAGCTAATAAGAATTTAATTAAACCATATGAGTACAAGATCAACACTAAAAGAAGTGAGTTAGAGTTTTAAAAGATGTATAGTCAAGATTGAGGATTCCCTCAACCTTGACTTCAATATATATTAGGTATTAAGAAGCTTCTTAAGAAGTTTTTATATTATTTGAAGATGAAGCAACTCAAAGACGCTTCTCAAGTAACTTTCTTAATCTTTTTAGAATCTTTTAAAATCTTTTAGAATATTTTTAAAATCATCTAAAGTATTTTAGGATATTCTAAGAATATTTCTAAAATCTTATGAAATCTTTAAGAATCATCTAAAATATTCTAAATTGTCCTTATTGAATATTTATAATGTATTTGTTGAATAGAAAAATATACCTTATAATAAGCAAACTTTGTAAATAGCAAGAGAGTTGTTCAATTTTTTTTATGGTAATTGATGGTATATCTCAAATACTATTTCAAATTTTCATTCAACTATTTTATTTATCCATCAATTTATGGATAGGAAGCCAAAGATAATTTTATGTCCATCTTTAATATTTTAAATAGAATTTTCTAAAATCTTGATACAAATTATGTCTCTCTATTCAATATAATATCTTTTAGTAATCTATAATAGTAATAAATATTATTAAAAAATATATAGTAATTAAAGATAATTTTTATTGTAAAATCTAGAGTTTGGTCTCTACTATACTTTCTCAATTATTTTTTCCAAATGTAGCCATAAAGACTTCTAAGAATGAATTAAGATCATAAAAGAGTTGTTAAATTTTTTCTATCTAAGGTGCAAACTAAGAAATAATATTGTCAAATAAAAGTATACATATGAATTCAACTTAAATAAATTTATAAAGGTATTGAAAAAGATGTAATCTTAGATAAAGCTTTATTTGTTGCAGAAATCTTCAAAACTTTGATCTTGTTCCATCAAACTTCTTTGGCATACTTATCCTTATTTCTTTAATATTAGTAGTAGCAAGACTTCTTGAATTCAATTGTGAACTTAATCTATGTGCTTTTCTTAATCTACAAGCCAAATTAGAGGAGGGTAATTTGGAACTTCTAATACTAAATAAAAATTTCTACAAATAAACATAGTCCACATTTTTTTAAAAAAAACCAATGTAAAAAAACTAAATATTAGTTTAAAGATAATTAGTCCACAACCTTCAATATACAATAATAGAAGTGAGATAATCCACTCAATTCTAAAAACACAAAAATAATTAATTAGTATTCTTATCAAATTATCAAAAACATAAATCTTAAAGAATCAAAGAGTCAATCCACTTTTGTATCATTTAAAAAGAATAGATAATCACTAAAAGATGGTATAATATTAAATTAAAATTGTTAATGCTCAAGATAAAAAAACTAAAATCTTTTAAAAGAAGATTCAAAACAAGAAAGGTATTGACAAGAGTGAAGAAGGTTTCACTTTTACCTCCATATATACTATCTAATTAAATACTATGTAGTAATGTTCTATAGGACCTCCAACATGTGTCTAACTTACAAGACAAGTTTTCAACATATGCATCACATGGTTGGCTTGTATCACAAACTATTAATATGTGTGAAATATGATAAACTTATTGGCTAAGTTTTTAATCTACCAATCAACTACAAACATATCTAAAATCAAATCCACATCCATGAAGTTTCTAAAAATCTTCATCACAATATATTATCAAATTTATCTATATTTACCATCTACTTAACATTTCTTATTTAAATAAATATATATATATATATATATATATATCCATGACCCTTTATTAGACACCAACAAAAAGAATTGTACTCTTAAATATTTTTTTCACTAACATTTCCAAACACCAAAAAAAAAAAAATGATTAAACTCTTAAGAATTTTTTTCATAACATTTGCAAACACCATTGCGTGTCATTAACATCACTACTGTGTCATCAAAAGGGAATTCCTTACTATCTCTGACCTTGGGAGTTAGTTAAGCATCTTTAGAAACTAGAAAGTGTTGATTGAAAGGCCACTAATTTGCCTACATCAAACAACGAGGCTGAGAATGTTTGCATGCTGACCACTCAACTACCTATCAACCAAATGAACTGCTAAGAGGTGCAATCAAATGGTTGATACTCTAGTATTCAGCAGTCCGGTAAGAGAGGGAGAGAGATAGAAAGAATGCGGCATCGAAACAGCTTCTCTGGACACTTCCTAAGGTTCTGAAAAACAAAACGAAAACGTATATCCAATAGAAGAAGTTAAATACCAACCTTGAAACAACAGAGCCAAACACCTCCTCAATATTCAGAACGGTCGCTACAAATCTTACACATCTGGCTCGTCTGGCTGTCTCAGTTTTGAGAGTAAGTGGGTCGAAATCTGCAAGTAAGGTGCTGACAGGGAGAAGCTGCCCGTGTCCCTTGCCTGAATGATTGAACTCTTTAGAATGGGGTAACCGAACGCGTCCATCATGTATGAAGAAACACCGGCAAATTCGAGGATTACAGGTGCTTACTCCACATCTAATTTTCGAGGAAGTTTTTTTCTACTCTTGTAGGTGCACATGGTCGCATTGTATTTTTTCTCCACCACCTGCCTCTGTTCTGGCAAGACGCGCAAACAGTACCCCAAGCTTCTCACATGGGACAAAGTCTGGTCTGCGAAAGCTAATCATGTCTGTGGGTCCACGTCTGGAACGCATGAATACAACCTCGAACTAAAAGCTAGTTACCAAGAATCACAAAGGACGCCCCTAGGTTGTTATCCACTTCCGACTTGAATATCAACAGGATGACGTGGTTTGAAAGGTCTCCGCTGGACCGTCACATTCTCAGCAAGTCGTTGGAAAGGGAATGTTTGTGGTGAAGGGAGAGGAATGGGAGATGCAACGACGTATGCTCAAACCCTGCTTTTCTAATGAATCGCTCAAGGTTTCATTCTTTTGGCACTAGCAAAAGTATGTCCCATTGAGTACGGATATAGGCCCTGTGAATTCGGGTTAAGCTTCAGTTTCCGAGACATTTCATGCGAGCTCGATTTGCACTTTGGTTAATATTCTCCGGCTCACGCCCGACTTGTGAAATTCTTACTTATTTAAAGTAAATTTTTCATATCCTTTCTTGGAACAAAGAGTTAGCGCTCTATTTTAATCTTGTTCAAACACTGCCATATATCACACCTCAGCGCACACAAGAACGAAGGAGTTAATTGTGCTACAGAAGTCTTTCTTGTGTATGTCATGTTCTGAAGTAGGCTGCTGTTGTAGGAATTAATTGGATCTATTTGGGGCATGCCTTCGACCAATAGACATGAGCTTCGCTTAGATGTTGCAGCCGAAACGGAGTATGTTAATAAAATACGGTGCCTGGTGCTGTGTTTGTGGTGCAGCCCATGGTGGAACTCATGGTAAAAAGTGCAGCGCAAGAAATGCTGAACTGGGAGGAAATGGCAGCACAAGCTGGAGGAAGAGTGAAACATGATGTACAGCTTTTAATAAGTGCTTTGATAAAGAGAGACAAATCATGGGGCATCTCTTTGCAGCCATTGGCAACCCTTCTTTCTGGATCCCAAGTGTACACTAGATAGAGAACTCGAATGGTACCTACAAATTATGATGCCAGTGAGTCTATTTTGGCGTCAAATTAGAATACCTCTGATGTTAGGGTTTTGGCAGGCTTTTGCCAACAAAACAGGCGACAGCGATTGCTCAACTCAACGGCAGAACCGAAAAACTAATCATGGAGTTGGTCAAGGATCGGATGGATGCAGTACAGAAAGTAGAAAGAGAATCTTACGGCGACGATATTCTTGGTCGTATGCTGACAGCAACTGATAGATTTGATGGAAGCTTCCACAAATTTAGCCTCGACGCTGTTATAGACAACTGCAAGAAGTTTTTCTTCGCTGGCACTGACTCAGGAGCAAATTTAACCACCTTCCCGTTGTTGATCCTAGCAAATTATCCAGAATGGCAGGACAAAGACCCTTGTGAGATGAACGACATCTCTAGGCTCAAAATTGTAAGCAATCGTTCCTGGAAATATTGTTAATTACTCTTTCTTGCCCCGTAAAGGACGATTCAGTGGTAGTGACAAGGTTTGCACTAAGATTAGTACGTGATTGGTGCAGGCGAGGATGATATCTCAAGAAATAGCGCGAATTTTTGCAGTGTCACCGTCAATAGCTAGATTAGCCGTTAAGGATTGCGAATTAGGCGACCTGTTAATTCCCAAGGGTTTAGTCATCGAAATCGCGACTTTGGCAATGCACCGTGACCCAGAGCTTTGGGGAAAGGATGTAGCCGAGTTCAGACCTGAGAGATTTGCTAATGGAGCATCGGCAGCTTGCACTCATCATCAAGCATTCCTTCCCTTCGGAGCTGGACCCCGAAGTTGCATTGCTGAAAAAATTTCATGGCTGGAGGTGAAGGTTGTGCTGTGCATGATACTTCGACGTTTTCGAATCCTACCATCTCCGAAATACAAACATCATCCTCATTTTGCCATAGTGAACAAGCCCAAGTACGGATTGCCACTCATTTTGGAGCTCCTGTCGCAAAGCCGGTCTGATTCCATAATGGCGGAGATCTAGTTCTGAAACCACACTAGAGCACAGCAATTCATACTGCTCCAGCTTGCACAGGTTCCATATAGGAACATCCTTTAAGCTTTTCTTGTGTCTGCACACTCGCGTGTAACGTATCACCTCATATTTAATTGAAAGTCCTCATGCGTCTGTAGAGAAAAAAAAAAAAAAAAAAAAACATACATCATTGTGGTACAAGGAAGAATTATTCAGTAGAAGATTGTGAGAATTGGAGAGTACTCTTGAGCTTCAAGTGCGCAACAGAAGTGACAAAATTAATTATCATGCGCATCATAAGCTACGCCTATTATTCTGTTGCCATGGAGAAATGCTGTAAAAGATTTGGAAACGAGGAGAGATAGCGATCGAAGCGTGCAGAAGTTGACATTAAGTAAGAGGGAGACGGCCGAATTCTAATAAGAGATTAAGCTGCGCATGAATTTGGTTGCTTAACTCAAAGGTTTTTTTGGAACAACGGAGGTTGACACGAGGATGCCGTCGTTGTCCACCCAGCAGAAATCACCAGGTCTGATGGTAGCCCCTACGATGTTTATCACGACGTTCTTTTCGCCGACGCCGTTCTTTTTGCTCCTCACAGGGCACGGGGCGAGCGCTCTAACCCCAATAGCGCAGTCGTTGATCTCGTCCACGTCGCGAATGCATCCAAAAATGACAAACCCAGCCCAGCCTTGTGTTTCCGCAAGCTTTGCAACTTCTCCACCTACAAGAGCGGTTCGCAAGCTACCGCCACCGTCGACAACGAGAATTCTCCCATTCCCAGGTTCATTTACTGTTCTACGCAACAGAACGTTGTCCTCCAAGACTTTCACTGTAACCACTCGACCTGAAAATATCCGTTTCTGACCAAAGGATTGGAAAACACCAGGCGTTAGAACTTGGAGCTCCCCAGACGCAAGCTCCTTTTCGTGAGTATCACACACGTTCGACGTCAAGAGAGACATCTCGTTCTCAGGTATTCCGATTCTCCTGTCAATCTCTCACTCTTTCAACGCATGCCTTCACGAACTCTCAACGACTCAAGTGTTCTCAACGTGTTCTCAAGTGTGAGAAAAAGCGTCTTGCAAACAGAATCTAATGACGAATACAGACAAATTGCAAAACTGCAGTATCTAGATTCGTACAAGGATGACGAAATCATAGATTTGTAATATTCTAAATTCTGCAGAATCCTTTGTACTTGAGTAGCAGTGGAGGTTTAATCGTTAGGCCTATGTTGATGAGTATTCCACTCTAAAAAGCGACACTCCACACCAATCGCCCCGTCCACTTTATCATATTCACCAAGTCAGGAATTACTACAACTGCAGGAAAATTTAGACACGCACTCTGTCGAGCGCCAGCCTTGATCGGCACTTTCTAAAAGATCACTGGTAATTCAGTTATAACCTAGAACTTCGCTTAGCATTTCTTGCGAAAGTGATCACTTTCTGAGTACGTGGATGCTTAGAGACCCACAGTATGCCCGCTTAACTACCTTCAAGATGAAAACAAGATTTCAATCAACGAAGCCACTGCCACGAATCGATCATAGAATAAATTTTAAATTCTATCTCCGAGCTGTGGGATATTGACGTGTTTAGTATACTTGAGATAAACTCACAGCGATTGATTAAGTGAAAACCTGAAGAAGAGCACCTACTACAGAAGCTTGTACGAAGTCTACACGGAAAAGGATGGGCAAAGCATGAATAATGTCACCAATTTAGACCTAGGATCTGACTTATGTCATCTATCAAACAGCATGTGCAGGGTTTCTCGGCTGTATAAACTCCAGGGATTTGGCAATGGGTGTGAGGCCCTGTGCAGCCAAGTAATCTGCGTTGTGGAACTTGCTTAAATGACGAGCGCCACCATCACAAAGAATAGTTACAATTGTATGCCCTGGACCCAGCATTTGAGCAACACGTACCGCACCCACGCAATTCATGGAAGAAGAGCTTCCTAAGAATAAACCATCGTTCCTCATCAGATACCTGCAACACATACATACCATCTGGTGAATCCAAATGTCCAGTAGTTACAAGGAAAGAGGGCTTAAGTTACTTCAAGGAATTCAGTTTCCCAAGAAAATAAGGCATAGATCAGAGCCAACCTTGCCATTTCAACGGCCTCCTTGTCAGTGCCCCGAAAAGCTCCATCGAGCTGTGCTTTCTTGAAATTTTCAGTTATTCGATTAATACCTATTCCCTCTGTGATGGTATCGAAAGGATTTTTCATGCGTTTGCCTTCGGCTTCCTCTCTTGTGTACATCACACCCCGAGTGACTTTGTTATATAACCCTGAGCCCGGAGGATCTATAAGAAAACATTTTACTTGAGGATTTTGTTCCTGCAAATATAATCACTAAAAAGTTCGTAAGCCTTGCAGAATTAGAGATTAGTGAAACCAAAACCTTGAATTTCTATCTTTTCATGTCATCATTAATACTGAATGCTTTCGTCCTGCTTTTGGCTGAGGGACTCAACCCTCCTGAGAACGAAACTGAAAAATAGATGGAGTAATTGAGCTGAATGTGGGCGGCAATTTACAAAAACAGGTTCAACATCAGTGACCCAATTCGCAATAAAAATACTCCACATAGTTAAAACGAAAAACTACCTTCAAATATCGTGAAACTCCTGCAATTGTCCCACCAGTTCCAGCAGCTGCAACAAACGCGTCAACCTTTCCACCTGTCTGCACCCATATCTCTGGACCCGTTCCCTCATAATGAGCCCGGAAATTTGCCAGGTTCTCGAATTGGTCTGCAAAGTACCCACCTCGACCTTGCCATTTGCTGTTCAAGTGATCACTGGAGTCGCTGTCTCTAACATGAAGTTCCGTGGGTTGTGCCTCCGCTAAACTCATACCAGCATTAGCTTGCTCCTCAGATATCACGTGAAGCTTTTCACCGGATGAGCGGGTGTTTTTCACATGAGAACTATCAGTAACGCCAGCGATTAAACATGCGATTATCTCCTTCTGTATGGAGATCAAAAACTCCTCCTCAGCTGGTCTTGAATCACATGAATTATTTCTTGTTGCTATTATTTCACATGGTAACCCGCTTTTGGAATGTATTGCGGCGTGAAATTCATGAACCTCTGATGTAAAAGCTTTAACATGATGGTCAACCTTTTCCTCTAGGTGTGGATTTTGCTTTGAAATTGCATATAGCTGTGCCTCGGGTGCTGAATTAGCAGCACGGGCTTCCAGTGCACGTCGCCTAGCAACATTTACGAAGTGGTTTTTATGTGTGATAGAAACAGGTCGCACTCGCTCGACAGTAGCACCCATTGATTCCAATATTTGAGTCTGGCAAGCAACAGAAAAAAATTGCACAATACCTAAATCAGCGCTGCCTCAAAATAGTCAAGACTTTGGAATGAAACCAGCTGACTCAAAGGGATCCCAAAATTGCAGTATGGCATGCAAAGCTTTTTAAGCGCGATCCTCTTTAGAATAAATGAATTATCGTGTACACAACAAACCCTAAATTCTGAACCCTTCAGGATATATGTTCATAAGATTATGTTTTCAGATTATGATGATTGCTAATACCGTGCTGGATATCGGTAGCAAGTGGCGAACAAAACAGAGCGTACCTTCTCAATCGCAGCATCGTCAGGGATCACAACGTGGCATCTGCACCCATACGCTAAGGCAACCATGGCTAAGCTTACAGCTGTACTGCCAGCACTTCCCTCAGTAACAACACCACCAACACATAGAGCCCCAGATTGCAATGCCTGCGATGCATAGTTTACAAATTAGGCTTCCCTGCGATCGAATAAGAAACGATTTCCTACATCGTACATTCATGGTGGTAACAAAAGCCAGAGAATTGTTAATATAAATTTCAATTCGCAAGATGCCAAGACAACTGACCCCGAGGTAAAGGCGCAAAAGATTTCTCACCTCCTCAATAATTTGGACGGCAACCCTGTCCTTCACACTTCCACCAGGATTCAGAAATTCGCATTTACCGTAGATCTGGCCCGCTCAAAAATTGAAAGCACAATCAGACGAAGGACTTAGTAACAGAAAGAAAAATCCTGTCACGAATGCGGCCTGATTCAAGTGACTAAACAACTCAAAAGCCTGGAGAAAAGCAAACAAATAAAGTGCAAATTAGTATAAATGATAAATCACATCAAGTCTCCGCACCTCGCAGCCAGTGGCTTCCGACAGACTCCGAATTCTAATCAACGGTGTGTTCCCAATCGCTCCTATGACTCCCTCGCTCACCCCCACCCCCGCTCTCCCCCTGTTAAAATTCAAATGTTTCTGCGACGTCTCTGTGCACATCATCCCCCAGTGACGCACAAACTCCTTCCACGATTCACACTTACGATGCTTCCATCGCAGCGACACGACAGCCGCAGCAGCGAGCACCACCGCCGCCACAGATGCCACCACCACGCCCTCCCTCCTCTGCATCTTTGCTCCCGAGACCTTTCTCTCAGCTACCACGCCTGTCCTCCCTCATTCCACCTTCTGATGAATTTGCCACACCCTCCTTCTAATGCAAACACGGTGGTTTCAACTGCCATTACAATCCATCAAACACCGCATTTCTGACGTCTTCTAAAACTTAACGAGTCTTATAGCTAAAAACTTGAGCTAAGCCCCTCGGTTCCGACTTAAGGAACTGCAGCACCGGGAACGCGGACCGCAAGCGAAGCATCTCACAAAACAGTGGGACGCCGCATTTGTGCAAACCTCGACCCTCAACACATGAAATCACGTGAACCTTTGCTGTGAACAAAATGCATCTCACTCATTCATGCTATGGAATCGCTCTTGGCTCGCCCGAGCTCTCATCCATTACCACACTAATTTTCTTCCCACGACCCAAGCTTCATCTTCTCCTTACTTTCTCTGACACAAAATTACAAACACAAACATTCACTCTGTTCAGTACAATATGCAAATATTTCTTGCATATTGAAATTCTTGTGTAACGAAGAATTACATTTAAGAAATGAATGGAGGTAATAAGTAGTGAGATAAATGAAGACTTGAACAAGCCCTTCCAGATGAACTTTTTTTAGTGTAATCTTAAAATGGATATAAAAATAAAATAACATAATCTTATCTTGGTTGTTAGTTCATTTCAGAACAGAGTAGATCATGTGGGGTATCAAAAAATGTAAAAATCTTACTTTAAAGTTACTAGATAATATCATTGTTTTCAGTTTGAAAAAAAAAAAAAAAAAAAAAAAAAAAATTGAATACATTCTTTTTTATTATTTTAATAATACATAGGTCAAGTTAAATAAGATAAATCAATACTGTTCAATAACAATTATGTAAAAATTAAAAATTAAAAATTAAAAAAAAAATGGGCAGAAGAAGAAATTTGTACTAAATACTTAGAGTGCTAAAGGAAATCTGAAGCATTTCCAATAAATAATAATAATAATAATAAATTATTGAAATTTATACTTATTTGAAAAAAAAAAAAACTCTATCATTTATTCTTTCTTAGAAGGCTCAATTATTTTTTTGCATTTGAAGATTGTGTTTTAACTAACAAATAGTAGTTTACAAACATTACTATAATAAAACGTTGCAATGTTGTGGCTTATTGACTTTAGAAGATAGTGTTTATAAAATGCAAAAAAATTGGCTATGAGTTGTACATAGCATAAGAATTTATGATTATGTATAAAGGTGTTAGGATTGTTTAAGTTGATGTATGGTTTTATGTTTATTGTTATAATTTTAATTGAAAAAATATAAGATAATAGATCACAATGTTAGAAGAAGAGACAAACATAAAGAACTATAGGGACATCTTAAAAATTATTTTTATTTTTTGGTTTTTAATACTTTCTTTGCTCAAATCCCTCCCATCTAAGTACATTTTTAATCCTTAGTTATTTAAGTTTTTATGCTTTGTTATAATCATCTTGGTGATATATAAGTTTTTACAAACACTTACAGAAGTTTAAAAGCAATGCCAAGTTATAGATTTGGAATTTTAGAAATTTAATTTTAATTTGTAAAAAAGAAAGTAATTATAAGATTAGATTTGAACTTTTAATTTGTGTTATATATCAATTGTTTCAAAACAAAACTACAAATCTAATACAGATTAAAAAAATTGTCCTAAAACTCACAGAGAGTATGTTTTTCTTTTGGTTGCAACAATTATCTATACTTGTGAAATTATTTTGGTTAATTTATAGAAACTTGAAACTATTTAAGAACTTATCTTCTTATAACTTGCTTTAAGGCTCTAAATAAGGTAATTTGTACAACAAAATATATTACAACTTATTTATATGATTGTATTTATTATACTTTCTATTTTCCATTATTGAAATAATAGAACAAAATTTTGTAATTCCTACTCTATGAAACTTCTAAATGTAGTTATTTTAATATTTTTCAAATAGCTTAGATTCTTTCAAATAATTTTGATGAATTTATCAACTTTAGTATAATAAAATAATTCTTTAGAACTTAAATTAAGCATGTTATATATATATATATATAGAAATTTTATCATGTTTAATAATAATAATAAAGACTTACATATAAAAAAATTGGCTATTGTGTATTATTTTCTTAAAATTTTATTTTATCAATCAATAAATATGTAATTTTAAATTGTTATAGCCAAAGATCAAGTGTTTTTTACTAACTAAGTGATGAAAGATATGCCTTTCATAAAATAATCTAAAAGATTTTTAAATAGATAAAATAAATTTTTAATTTTGTAAAAAAGTTACTTTATTTTATTTATAATTTTTTATATAAATATTTTTGAATAGACAATTTTTTATAAGTTAAAGCAAGTATAGAAAGACATAAAAATATATATGAAAATAATAAAATATAAAGCATAATAAAAAAATATTTAATTTTCTGATTTAATGAATCAAATAAGTTTAATTAAAGTTTTTTAAATTTATAAAGTCAATTGACACCTACAAATGTCATCCAATATAATTAAGACCTTACAATGTTCTTTTTGTTAAGATTATTATACATTCTACATTGCTTTGAAAGCTTGTTTTATATATAGCAATATAGAACTTTACAAAAAAACTAAAGAATATACAAATGTTGTCATAAAATCGATTAAAAGAAAAGAGCATAACTTTTCTTTTAAGACATGTCTAGGATTTGTTTTTGTAACCTTGCATAATATATTTCTTATTAATATTATATTTTATTTTTTAATTATTATATATTATAAAATATTCTAAATATATAAATTTTTAGAAGATAGAATTTTAAAAATAATCATATACTATAATTTCATTAAAAAATCGCTTTATCTTTTTTTTTTCTTTTTGTTCTCTTTTTAATTTTTATGGTAGTTTTTAAAGTATTATTAAAAGAATTACTCTATCCATTACTATTAAATCATGTAGATCCTTCTATTATCAAAATAATTAGAAATTTCAAATAATTATTTTTTTAATTGAATACTTTTTATAAGTACTTATTTAATTAAACAATGCATCTAAAATTTACTAATATATTAATTTTATATTGGTTTTTTAAAATGTAGTTGTCATGTGACATAAACAATTCTATAAAACTTAATAATGTTTATTGTGGCTTATTTTTTTGAGTAGTTATTTGCCTCTTTAATATTTTTTAGGTTGATACAAGTTACAATTGTAATAAAATTAAATTATGAGAGTCCAATATCAAATATTATTACAACCAAGTCCACAAAGTAATAAATTTATGACATCTCTTAAAAGCTCTTATGTTTAAATATCTGATGTAGAAACTATAATATTGTTGCTTGTAATTTTATTTTTCTTCTTCTTAAGTCTTTTTTAAAGAATGAAAATAAGCAATTTACATTCCAAAACTTTACATCAACTTGTTATCAATCAATTTGTACAAACAATGTTTGATTGGTAGTAGCTAATATTTGTATGATTTTATATTAACTATAATCCTTCTACTATATAAAGATATCAAGGACTATATACTATATCCTTACATGCCTATTTTTATTATACAAATTTAATTTGAAAGTTGTATTTATGTAGTATAAAAAAAAATAGGAACATTAACAATAAGGGGTTTCAAACATGGCACTTTTATAAAACCAAATAATTCGAATTCAGTATTTGATATTTCCAAAATCACTCAAAATATCAAATCCAAAGTATCAATTTTAAAACTTTATTATCCCTTGATATTACTCCCTAATTCAAACTTTATTATCTTCTTAGTATGGAGTCAAATAGGGAAGAGAGCTGAGGCAAGCAACACAATTTTTGATATTAATCCCATTCATCTTTTAATATTTTAATTTCAAAATCACTCACCTTTCAAGGTGGATGATTTGGTGAAGTATTAAATGATATTTTAGAATATCATGAGATACTTTAAGCTTGCATCATGGATAAAATATGACCTTAAAAAACCATGTTTTAAACCCTATAATGTATATATTACTATAATAGTAGTTATTTTGAAGGATATTATCAAGATACTTCAATTTACAAATGATATTTAAGAAGTAGTCAATGTTATCAAATATTATACTTCAATATATATGTAGTAGAAAAATTAACTTAAAGATTAGAGTGGTTTTGGAAAATCAATCAACAAAGGAAAATCAATCAACAAGATTACATATTATTTAAACAAAGTGTTACAAATTTGCATAAAAATTTAGACCTTATTTCTATTTTAGACAAATCAATCTTTTCAAAATTATTTCAACTATATTTTCTTTTGAAATAAAAAATAAATGATTGAAGCTTCTATTGGTTGTTTTTTATAAATATTATGTTAGAAAAAAAACTAAAGGATTAAAAAGAATAATACATATGCATATATTTATAGTTTTAATCTGTAATATAGAATGTTGCTTGATAGTAATGGATTTGGCATCAAAGGATCTTTGAGGTACTTCATACTAGATTCTAAGAATCAAATTATTTTGCAAAGGAAGATTGCCCAACAATCTTAAGACTTTGCCTTGTGTGATAAGATAGAATTTGTTTCCTTGTTAATATTTAAAATTCTCATAATATAAATATTGGTTTTTGAATACATTATTCCAATGCCTAATTCTTACATTATATATAATGCAAGAAATTAAGATAAACACATTGAAAGAAATTGCCACAACCACAAAGTTAGTCATTCTACACTGATAAAATTGATGCTGTGGGTAATGGCTGTGGTAATGGTGCGACTATATATTGGAATTTTTATTTCTGCTCAACGAAATTTAAAAGGTGCACACATTGGTCAAGGTTCCTAGGTTGACCCATGCATTTAAATTCTGCTCGAAGCCTACCATGCTACACTTCTTGTGACTATACTAGTGTAAAAAGAAGTGTAGCATATACTCAATTTGTACTTGCCTGATCATTGCAAAATTTCTTGCTTGGGGTTCCGCCAAGGAGTAGGCTCGGTAACTAGCACTGTTCAATCAGTCAGTAAACAGTTTTCCCTGCTCAACAACGGAAAGCATCGCCACATCAACAAGAGAGTATCAGTAACATTTTTTTCTCACGAAACTTCTAGATGGCGTGCATGTTCGTGGCATGATTGATGATGTCGGACGGCATGAAAAAATTACAAGCTCTCCCCGCATTGTTTTAAATCCCCTAGGTTCATACCACACCATCTTGATGGAACAAAGTATATTAAGCCTGACCTTCACTAATGACTCAATTGAGCTCATTCTGCAGGAGACTGATTGCGAAAATTTTAATGTTCATGTATAGAGCCTTGCAGTCTAGAGTGAACCAACAAACGAGACTATATATATATATATATATATGTGTGTGTGTGTATGTGTGTATAGATAGCCTAGCTTAATCAGTTTACAAAGAGCAAGTTTAAACCTCATATGCATGTTAGTGAATATTTAAGCTGGTAATTACCATGAGATATCTTTAGGTTAAATTATGTGCTTGACAACGTCAGTTAGATAAGGTCAAAGCCGTGGCTAAGTTGCCAGACTCGCGCGGTATCCTGTCATTCAACACCCGCAGAAAATAACCCTCCCGTTAGATACTGGAAGAGGCTCCAGGTTTCGGGGAGGGCGGGCATACAACATGTTGCCAGACAGCTTGACGCAATAGAAGAACGCCGCATTTTATCCGCAATGCAGAGAGATTCCTTAACACATCTCCGATTGACATTAATATAGAGCCATTGGCTTTGAGAAAATGGAGAATAGAAATGTAAGGGGCGAGCCCCCTGATGATAGTTGAAGATCAGAAGAGATGAGGGATCCAGATTACCTTACATTTGTTACAGACTCATGGATACAACATGCATGCGCGGCTATCGCTAACGGCGGTTAATGACAAAAAAAAAAAAAAAAAAAAAAAAACACACAAACACAAAGAACAGTTCTTTGTGTATGTAGTGTCTACCATGGTAAGCGAGGGGCCCCCACAATAACCGTATGAAGACTTATCTAACCCATCGTAAACCTTTGAAAACCTGTGATGGGAACGGCACCAGCAGTCTTTAAAGAGGCGTCTATGTTTCTATGCAACCGGAGAAAAATGGGAGGAAATTTTGGGGGGGGGAGGAGAAAAATGGGAGGAAATTTTGGGGGGGGGAGGAGAAAAGAAAATAAAAACCTCACTGTAATCACCAAAAGTGTGGATCACTATTCCTTGAAGTCGTCCTTGTCATCAGCAGGAATGGCCTGATTTCTCCAGTACACAGCCAAAGCACTTCCGCCGAGCGCCATGGCCACAACACTCACAGCCGAGGGAACAGCCACCAAGGGGTTGCTGAAATGCTTCTGTGCCAATAAAAATCCCAAAGCAGAGGATTGCATTCCGCATTCAATCGAGATAGTCCTCGAGGTCGACTCTCCGAACTTGAACATCTTCGACATGAAGTATCCAAGAGCGAAAGCTGCCAGATGCAACAGGGCTACGGGCAGGATAAGCTGCGCTCCTTGAGCAACCAAAACGTCAGAAACCTGTCCGATGGGGCTTGCGCACAACAATGTAGTCATGATCACACCGACCAAAGGGGTGACCGTGATGATCTTCTCGACGATCTTGGGAAACATCTCATGGGCGACCACTCCAACAACGGTCGGCATGAGCACCACTTGGAATGTGCTCACAGCCAATCCCACCGCGTCTACAGGCACCAGCTGTCCGGCAAGAACCTTAGTAAGCAAGGGAGTCATGAAGATAGCGCCGATGGTGGAAGCTGTAGTCATGAGCACAGAGAGCGCCACATTACCCTTGGAGATGTAAGTGGCTACATTGGAGGCTTGGCCTCCTGGGCAGCAAGAGACGAGGATGAGCCCTGTCGCCAGTGGCGCGGACAATTTCAGCGCATGGGCAATCACGAACCCGAGCACGGGCTTCACCAAGTACTGCGCGACAAACCCCACCCCCACGGTCCAGGGATTGCGCAGGCACCGCCTAAAATCCTCCACAGTGAGTGTGAGCCCCATGGAGAGCATGAGGAACCCCAAGCAGAGCGTAAACAAATCCGTGTTCAACCATGTCACCGCGGACGGCTTGTAAATTCCAATGAGCGTCCCGAGGATAACCCACACAGGAAACATGGTCGTCAACACGTCCACCACCTTCTCGAACGAGTTCAATTCCCGCGGGGCAGACACCTCCGCACCTCCAGACGCTCCCACTTCTGCTCCACACACTATGCTCCTATCCTCCTTCTCGCTCCTCAACCTCAAACCCTTCCCGCCCAATGGAAGGAACATGCCCCCGTCCATGGCACCAGCTCCCGCACTCGCCCTCAGATGCAACCCGCTCGGAGCACTCACCCTCCCCATTTTCGGTGCAGCCAAGGCAATCGACCCGCTCCCGAGGCTCCTCAGCTTCACGTCCCTCTGCAGCGCGGCCCCACTCCATGTCGCCCCAACGGCGCGGCTCGCAGCGATGCTGGCCATGGCTCCTACGACAGGGTTGCAAAGAATCAAACACCTCGCTACACGAGAGCACAGAATTAAGTACAACCTTAATCCTCGATCTCTCGGAGAGCAACTGAAAGGGGCAGTGAAGTGGGAGGCGAGGCAGCTAAGAAGGGAGGAGCCCAGGCCTTGCTTTCCAATGCCAGCGTCGGGAATTTCAGAGCGTAGGACACCTTTTTGCAGGCTAGCAAGACGACGCAGCCGCGCTTGCAAGAAGGCGGAAGGATGAGACAGACGGAGAGAGAGAGGACACAGACAAGCAAGGAGATTGGGTGTGTGGACCACGTATTACGAACTCGCAATCCACGGCCCAATCCTCACCTCACATTCTCATTTCCTAGTTAATTCTCTGTCTTAGCAATTTTAGCTCTTGAGGAATTAGTTCTCGGAGTCATCGTCTGACATGCCCCCCCCCTGTCAATGCCCTGCCCCATCCGATGTCAATCGTTGCATGTGGATGAGTTAGGGTGCGCTGGCTTAAGTTTTGCATCCGTATATGGATGAATGTAGATGGATACTCCATTATGCATGTGTTCCCTACCAAATGTTCCACCCCGCGTTTGTTTCGTCCTTCCTGGTCACGGTTGGAACAGGGGCTTTGAATCACCGTGCTTCACTGCCCATCACCACTTGCTTTGCTTGCTACTTCACTTTTTCAGGTGTATAAAGCCGCCCAGTCTGGGCTTTAATGGATTCTTCTGGTTTCAAATCAGCGGTTGAGTAGAGTTTTGCTCAGAGAAACCAATGGCTGAGATCCACGCTGTTACTATTGGTCCGCAAGCTTCCTGTTCTATTTCTGTCATCACCCTCAAAATCCTCGTTGCCCTAAACCTGAATGGGTTGAATTGTTTTGCTGTGTTCCTTTAGGGTTTTCAGTAAATGCTGGCATGGTAAGACTTCTCAGATGGTATGGATATGCCATCCAAAGGTTGTCATTACACATCACGCTTTTTATAGGTGGAAAAAAGGACAATGAAAGTGATGACAATCGTAAAGGAAATTTCGAAATAATAATACAAGTGGTAAAGTGGGTTTGGTGGATGGAAGCAATGGACACTGGTTTCTCCACAATAGGTTACATTTTCTGTTTGTAAAAAATCACACTGGAAACTTTGTTCCAATCATCTTGTTTGCATCACATGTGTCAAATTTATATTAAATATATGTGAATATATTTAATATAAAATATATGTGTCACATTTATATTAAACATAGATTTCATTGGATAGTTTATGAAGTTTTCCTAGACAAAAGATCCCGACAAAGTTTGGTGCTTTGGGTTTTAACCTTGTTCTTACCAAAATTTTCTACATGTCAAAATAAAATATATCACGTTACATTCAATAAATGCAAAACAAAAACAATTGTATTATCTGTGAGAGTATTGACATGTATTATGCAATAGTTCTATTTGAAAAGTGGTACCTCAATAAGGAGGCACGCCACTACGTAGATTGGTTAGAAAGACATCTTGATATTTTGTATGAATTGATCTGCTTGTTCTATTCTTTTGGCTCTCTTTTCTACCATTGATGTAAGATTTATAACTACCATATATATCGATTGTTTATGTTGTATTTTCTTCTTCATAAAAGTCATTCCTACAAGTAAGTTTTTATTTTGTAGATTGTTTTCCTTTTCACTCGATGCAGATGTACAAAGAGTCACCTTATGTCCACCATCTTTGAAAGATGTTGTCCTTCCTATCCAATCAACTTGCTTATTTTTTACCTCTAACCATGGCATACCAAGGATAACATCATATCTTAGCTTTGTTACCTTAAACCTCTCGCTTAAGACATAGGTATTAGTCAACCTCAAGGTTTCTTCTCTACAAGTCTCACTCAGTACATTTTCTCGATCATTTGCAAGGTATATACTCCTTCCTTTGATTACCTTAGTTTTAATCCCAAGTCAATTGATAATTTTAGTCAAGATACAATTTTGTGTAGAGCCATAATCTATAAGCATTCAATATGGTTGTCTTCTTAGTAGTCCTACTAGATGCACTAGTCAACTCTTTTTATAGTTGTCTAAGGCCATGCCATTTATCTTTGAAAGACAATAGCTATTTCCAATATTAGTCCCTGGCGCCTTTATTGGGAGGCTTTATTTCTCTATACTATCTCATTATCGACTTAGTGAGTTTCAAGATTGTAAACCTACTTTGTTTTGTTAGTGCTTGAATTTTGATGTTGTGAACATCCATCAATTTGGTGGCTTAGCTCCAGACAATAGAAACACAATCCTTTTTGTACCAATATTTATTGACTTTGTAATGTCAATAATCCTTATAGGATATCAATCTCTATTGGCATTGGTTTTTGAACCATAGTATTAAATAACAGCATAGGACTTCATGTTATAGGTCATGTTTAATGATTTCTAAAATCTAAGCATCAGCCCTCTTCGTAATCTGAATTGCATCTTTAAATGTTTGTAGATCTCTTAGTTCTACCTTTTACTAGACTCCAAGTTTCAACCCTCATGTAAAGCAATCAATCATCTCTGCATATAAAATATTGTCAATTTAAAGACAAATGGATTTGAAATAGGAGACATAATCTTGCACCGACTTAGATTGTGAAAGATTTGCCAACTAATTGCGTATTATCTTCTTTCCATTGATAGGCCAAAATTGATTCTTAAACTTAGTCTCAAACTCTTCTTTATCACAAAATCTACCTTGAGCTCAATAGCTTTGAACTCAATGTTGTCATCAAATGGCTGTCGTATCTCTCAATTAGTTGGCTGTATATATAATTGCTCCAATGGTATTTGCCCTCAGATAATTAAAGGTATTATCACATATTGAAGAGCCATTGATATACATCTTCTTGTCTTGAAATCCCAGAGTATGTAATAGGCTTACTCAATTTCAGTATAGCAGATGTAAGCTTCTTTTATCCTTAAGGTTTCTATTTGCACTTGCAAAGTAGCTATCTGGCCTAAAAAGTGTTGTATTTGAGCCTCCATTTGGGATTGTTCTGCCATATCTTCTATACTGTAATTTTTGCACTCGACTCTACTATTATAATGCCTTCTCATCCCTCGATTGACTTTTTAAGAATAGCTCATGGTAGCCTCAACACAATACTTAATGAGACCACAATAACTGACCTTGAACTAAATGATGACTATTGATACACTATCAAAGAATAATCTAACATTTGCTTTGATATTAATGAAATAAGACATGTCTGTATCAAAAAAATCCAAGTTCCTTCTAATTCACAGCAACATAAAGCTTCATCACAAAATAGGACAAAATAGACCAGAATAAAACTGAACAATATTAAACAGAATAGGATACAAAAGACAAAATTGTAAAAATGGAAATAGAACTAAACAAAACCAAATTTTACTAAGAATAAAAAATTTTACTTAGTTTTGTTTAAAGAATAAAATGACTATAAAAATTTATTTGTGTATAAATCATTCTATAAATACCTTAACATAATAAAATTATAAATTATGTTATTATATTTCAAATTTAATTTCATCTTCTTTGCCACTCTTTTTCATAATATCTTTTGCAAAATCCTTCAAAAGCTTCATCTTAAGCTATTCCATATGTCTCATCTATTGATTAGGTCTAACATAGTAAAAAAATATATATAATAAAAATATACTACATATTAAATACTAAATTTAGTAAAAATATCCATAGTGATATAAAAATATTATTGGAAAAAAATTAGAAATTACACTCACATTGTATACAAAGATAAACTCATTTTGATTCTTATTGCTCTTGTTTGTTTGTATCATGTCGGTGATGGTAAAGGATCCTTTACACCTATTAAATGTTGTTAAGCTTGATTAATTGAATTTAAATTTGATTAAATTTAGGCACCATATTTGACTTTGTTCTATTAAGTATGTAAGCACCATAATCATCACTAACACCATAATTATTATCAACACCATAATAATCATATCATGAATATTTGCTATGCAAGATTGTGGTTTGAGCTTGTATTGTTCTTGTTATCATGCATTTGTACATAATCTTTTGATATAATTAATGTTAACATGGTTCCCTCAAGGTCCTATGAAATCAACTTTTGCTTCACTTTTGATGGAAACAATGGAAAATGGAATCAATCAGAGAGTGTTTTTGTTTCTTATTTTTATTCCATTGATTTGTCTTCTATGAGCTCTTTCATATAAAAAATAATTCAAAATTTAAGCCTATCAAACATTGTAAGATAATTAAATAGATATTTCAAGCTATATCATAAATAATTAAATAAATAAAAATAATTACTTTTCAATCATAAGGTGTATAAGATTTTATCAAAGATTTGATAAGATTAACTATAGCTTTATTTTTACACTATTTTTTACTTATTATAAAATTATATTATTACATATTATTCACTAAAAAAATTCACAAGTTATTTAAAAGAATCCTATAATGAGATTTGTTTTATTTAAGCTACCAAAATATGCTTTACAAAGAATTTTTTCAATTACATGAATTTATTCTAGTATTTACAAAGACTTTCTATAAATAAACTTAAATATTATAAAATTTGCTACAAGTTTTTAGAAATATATTTTAGTTTTTAAAAAAGTTTAAAATTTCTATCAATATTCCTACATGTTTTTACAAAGTAGTTTCATGGGGAGCTAATTTTTTTCTTACTTTATAATTTTTCTTTAAGAGTATAAAATTCTATCAAAAACAAGAACAATCTATAGGTATTTTTACATAGGAATGATAATCAATTCTATGTATCAACAAAATTTTACACATTTGATGCACATTGAATTTATACTAAGAGGTTTAAAAAAAAAAATGAAAAGTGTAAACATAGAAAGTATTATAATGCTAAAAAAGAAAATTACAATTTATCACACAAATGAATGAATAAACACTTGATTTTAAATCACGACACAATTTGATGACTTGCAAATGGACACTGCCCTGACATCATTAAATGTTGTGAATATTTTTACCTCAAACAAACTATATCAAATTGGAGAGTTTCAAATATAAAATAAAAAAGGTGGCATTGAAAATTGACCTGGTAATGACCTATTGTGATTTGTTTTTTAAGATTTTTATTGATCAGTTATCATCATACTGTCTTCATTTTAAATCTGGTGCATAAAGATAAGTTAATGAATTTAAGTTTGTACAAATAAACTCTGAATATAAGAAAAAATGAATGTTTTTATTTATTTATTTATTTTTAGTTTGCTTAATTCTTAGATGTATATAAATATTATTTAGCTCAATACATGAGCAGTTTTTTTCAGATCATACTTTTATTTTGGAATGTGGTCATCTATGTGTGTGTATATGTGTATATATGTATTGCACCAAATTTTCAAATATTGTAATTTCCTTGTTTAAATTTTTTTTTTTAAAAATTATAAAAGTTTATATTCAATTTACACCAGTTTAAGAATTATTGATTTTTGCAGATATTAATAAGTAAATTAAAAATTGCTGTATACTCAAATAGTTGTTGAGTATATTCAAGTAATATGGTACATAAATTATTCAAATTGTAGTTGTAAATAGATTCAACCTCTGATAGTCTAATTTTCTACGTTGTTTTTGATTTTTTGAAAATTATTTAGTGGGAATACCACAGTCTACATCCAAGTCAGAACATATGTTTTCTTCCTAAGCAATTTAACTGACGCTTTACTTTGTTTTAGTTTTAATTAGTTTATTAGTTGGTCAAGTTAAGTAGTTTTTTTTTTTTTTTTTTTTTTTTTTTTTTTTAACACTGAAAGTGTCAATCTTTTTTAAAAACCATCTTATCCAAACTCTTGTGCGACTCACCAACTATCTTCAAATAATTATAACATATCTAACTTGAAATAGTGATAAAATTTGAGATATAAATATGTTTTATTTAGTTCTCAGAATTGATGAAATTTCTTGATTTTCTTGAATAAGAACTAAACATTTGAATTGACCAGAAAAAAAAATATATACATATATATATATATATATATATATATATATATATATATTCAAATGTCATATTTGATTGTGGATTATTTACAGATACAACTTTTTATTATCACCATTATTAATCTCCAAAATATAATGAAAAATTTAGATCGAAATCTGACGTGAATTTTTGCAAGACACATATTTCAAAATGAATAAAATAAAATTTTAAAAAGGAAATAATAAACCAAATTTAATTTAACATGTTTATACATCTTGATCAGTTGTAAATTTTATTAATTTGTTTAACATGATGCACATAGAAACAAATGAATGTGAAGCTTGGTGTGAGCAAGTAAGTTTATTTCATAGAGTGACATAAAAGATACACAATTATATATTTTACATTGGAAACCATATATTTTACACATTTTTTTAATAGACAGAAATTCACAAAAAAATGTACACAATTGCCCTGGTATAAATTCCAATCTTCCCCACGCACCAATTGCCCATCAACGATTGTAGGATTGAATGATAGCTCACACGCACTCCACACGCTCATTCATCCAAGCCATATACACGGGAACCTAACCCTAATCAGGTAGGCATGGAGGTTTTGGAAACTGCTCTGAATCAATTGCGGAATGGCCCTGAATTCAACGTAGCATCGAAGGTTTGTGCAATTGGAGCACCTAAATCGCAGACACCAGATTGCGATTGTTTCTTTGAAAGATCGCTGTAGTTTCACTCAAGCAAATTCTGGGGGTGGTTCGACAAGTGCTAGCTGCAGGGTTTACTGCAGCAGATTTTGAGGTTTAGGATCGGGGTCGCATCATGGGGCGGAGTCGAGTAGCAGATGACGATGTGGCTATGGGAGAGTCTGAAGAGGAAGCGCAGCATCTCAATGCGTACAGCTCTGACGAGGATGAAGACTCGAAATTTGACGAGGCCATTCATTTGTGAGTTTAAGCGGCTGTTTGATTACAATTTTTCGAACTATTTCTCTCGATAGTTATGCAATGCCATGTAGACTGTGCCCTTTTCGAACGCCCTCTGAGGTTTGTCTTTGGATAATAGACGTTGGTAACGTGAGGCGACGCCGCTTTCATGCTGTCCTATTGTCGGTCGCTTTGACGTTGTTTATGTAACACTGAATTCGTACGGAATGTTGTTACAAAATTTTAGTCGAAGCATATACTATCTCTTCCCAATTGAATTCGAGGTCTTGCACCTGTACTTCGCAAATTCTTGGTGTGGATCAGGGGCGTATGGGTGTTCAGGATGCAGAGAAACTGCCTTCTTAATTAGCTAATTAGAATGTTGGTATTTGTGAGAGGTCAACTATGATCTATTCGGAAGTCTTGCTTTACTCCCCTCATGTTCGTGTTAATGATATGTTCTAGAAATGAGGATGGACGCCTTCGGATGCGGTCAGATATTACCATGGAGGGACCTGCTTACGCTGGTAGAAAGAGTAGTCGTTCCGCTGTCTTCGAAAGCACCGATGAAAAAAAGCTGCAGGCTGAGGAGAATGCTACATCTGAGGACGAGGGGGAAGGCGGGAGCGTAGGCAACGATGACAGCGACGACGAAGACGACGACGACAACGGCGACCTCCATTTGGTACGGACAGAAGCTCTTCTGCCCGCTCACTCAAATTTGTGTTTGAGGAATGATCAGTTAATTATATACTCGTCAGAAGGTTAACAAATAAGTATTGTAATTGTCTCCTGATAAGTTGGATGTGGATGTTGGCATGTGTGCGATGAAGCTAGGGAACACGGACTATGAACTGGATAGAGAATACGAGGAACTTCGCAAGCAAGAAGAGTAAGGCTCGCTTTTCGCTGCACTTCACTATATTCAATTTTTTTATTCTGTTCACAGCTATTCTAAAACTTGACGGGAATCGTAAGTAAGGTTCATAATCCACCTTGGCTCAGTCATGCTTCTGTTCGACATACTATAAAAGCTTCGTTGCCGCAGAAGAAAATTTGTTGTAGCGTAATTATGAGCTTTTAGTTACTTTCTTTAGTGCTTGAAGCATCACTGTCTTAACATACTTGTCTTATTTCCATCTGGCTAGATTAGGATGCATGCTCTTCTAAAACTTACACTTTCTCCTGTGACCCCAAAAAGAAACTGAGCTTTATATGGATTGTTTCTAAAGTAGTTCTACTGTGATTACTTGTTTGGGAAATAGAGAGCTGGTCAACAAATTGAAACGAAAACGTTCGGAGGATCAGGGAAAAGGTGACTCTGTGCGTCATCAGAAGGTGAGCGATAGATTGATGTTAGGTTTCTTTTTTGGTTGATTGGCGCTGCCTATGTTTATAAGCTTAAGTACCAAATAACAAGACGTAATCGAGTTCTCACTATTATCAATGCTAAATCGAGTTCTAGTCATTCATTTGAGATCTTTGGGAATGTGAACCGCAGGTTTTATGGGATAGAGCTTTAGAGATGCGAATTTCAATGCAGAAGTTGCTAACGGGAGCCAATCTACTGCCACAGGTAGGCTTTTGTATCTATTAGGGCATGCCCAGGAAAGCGATTTGTAAGCACTTCGATCTCAGCAGCTAGGCTAGTTAGCATCGCGACTACATGACAAGTATTATATGCACAATGTTAGCAGCCCATCTTAAGTGGTGGATACACATGCCATGAGCTCACGTGATTTTCCTGGCTTATTGTGGCTGCAGTTACAAGGCAAGCAAGAGCTATGCAAAAGTAACAGCGATTGTAAGAAGGCATATGACTCTTTAACCAAGTCTGCTGTAGCTGCTCTTAATTGTTTTCTGGAGCTGAAAGATGTAATTACACTACTCCGATCATCAATTTATGGAACTGTCAACTATCAACCATTTGAATCTCATTGAAAGCCATTCTTTTTGTGCAAATCTATCAATTGATAGTGGACGATAGCGTAGTAGTATGTTATGTTCGGGCTAGATTTCTTCAACATTTTTTTTCTGAAGATGGTTTTATTGAACTTGTGATAGGCACTCATTGAAAATAACAGCGCCATCGCAGAGACTGGTGCTACTCAAGAGGATGGTCTGGTTATCTTCCTCTTACCCTTGCTTGATTTGTGTTGCCAATAGCGCTGGTGTGTACATTGGGATCCCTCTGTTTTGCTGAGTTCATACTTGACTGATAGTGCATTCGTTGTGAATCCTATAAAAATTTAGGAAAGAAAAAAGAGTCAAAAACTGAAGATGCAGCTGATGGTTCGTCTGATTCACTATGGAAACGTATGGATATCATTTACTCAAGGTAAACACTGTGTTTCTTGTTTATATACTCTGAAGGTTCGTTCTTTGATTGCGATATTAGGTCATAACGGCAAGAAGTAATTCCTTTCTCGCTACTTAGGGAGATGAGGAGAGCGAGAACATGTTAATTCTGTACTCTTGAAGACTTACTCTTAGGTTACCAAGGTGACGGCATGTAATCTGAGTTATTTCTCTATTCTTTAGGAATTCAGACTAGTAGATTTTCTCTATTTCATTGGTCATTATGTTAAAAGTAGGTATTATTTTGACTATTTTTACTAGTTTTCAGTAAATTTCAGGCGTTTTTTGTTTCTAGTTTTATTTCTTATGCTTCCATTGATATGGTAATTTTTATGGCGGTGGGGCAGCATAACTCCGTATCGGAATTCTTCAGTAGATAGATGGCAACGTAAGACACAATTGGCAACAGGCGCAGCTGCTGTCAAAGGAAGATTTCAAGCTTTCAACCAGGTAAATCCTAGTTCTTTCTACTTTTTTGAATGAATGGTTTTGACTGCTGTGAAGTATCTTGTTTACCATATATCAACAATTTTCTCTTTGTTGATGATACAGAGCATATCTCAGCAGCTTACTAATGCCTTGAGGAATCCAGACCAATTAGTTGAAAGCATCCGTTCAACTCAGTCAAAAGAGCAGGTATTGATTGTCTCAGAAGCTTCCTCTGTTATATCCAGTGGTCGTGAAACTTCCCAGCAGCTTACTTTGTAGTACCGTAAACAGCAAAGAGGTGTTTAAGTTTATTTTGTTTTATTTTTATTATTTTTATTTTTTTCTCTTTAACATTAAACCTCTGGATCTATTCACAGCGTCAATGTTGTCTGACTAGTTTTTTTATCTTCGTAGGAAACTCCTGGTTTGGTTGACAATAGTGGTGCATTAGTGGCTACAACTGATGGCACGAATGAACAGGTATGTAAAATTTGAGGAATGAAATATCTAAACCTAATTATCACCAGCAATAAGCTGAGGGACTGACCACATTGTGTCTACTTTTGAAGGGGATTACCAACTCAGAATTACATGATCTTCATATTGGTTTTTGTAGGTACTGTTCGATTCGCTTGTCTCCATCAATAACAAACTGTTCTTTAGAAGTGCTCACTGTTTCCTTGTTTTGGTAGGAAAGTGCCCCAGTGGTTGATGATTCGGAATTCTATCAACAGTTACTTGTAGAATTCTTGGAGAGTTCCAATCCAGGTGCACTTGGTAAGTTATTTTAATTTCTATACTCTTGGTCTTGAGTAGTTTCTCGTACGAACAGTTTAAGTTGAAGTTAAGTCTTGTTCCTTGGATGAAATCTGCTGCATGCTTGCATTTTTTACTGTTTTCTTTACAAGTTGGAGCGTAGTGTTCCTCCTTGCCGTAGTGGTTCTTATGTGTCGAAGATATGATTAGTGTGCACGTATGATTGTAGAAACGGTAGCGCTGGTTGGATGATCCCAGAAATCAATGCATTTTTTATATTGTGACTTTCCGCCTTTGTACCCTCATTGTAGGAGGAATTCAGCGAAGGCAGCATACAAAGAAAAGGAAGATCGTGGATCGTCGTGCATCTAAGGGAAGGAAAATCCGGTACACATCTTTACCTACGCTAACCTTCTCTTTACTGATGCTAGCTTAGTATGGTAGACTATTTGATATGCATGTCCATGCTAGGTGGGCTGATTAGAAGGGCCTTTGAATCGTGTTAGTTTCTTTGTTTTTGGCGGAATCTATTAATGCTTCTATTTGTATCTGAATCTTCATGACTTCAATGTCCTTGATTCTGAACTAATTGTACTTCTAAGCCATTTAGTTGTGGTGCCTGGGCAGAAACTGAGGGATACGTATATCTGATACGATTGTTGTCTTTTAACAGGTACAATGTTCTTGAGCCGCTGGTAAATTTTATGGCTCCTGAACCCATGGAGCTACCCCCGATGGCATCTAAACTTTTCGCCAATCTGTTTGGTCAACGGTCAACACCTGTTTCATGAGGATAGTATGACTTCCAAATGACCATGCATACTATATTTTGATCGGACATCAGGTGCCCCACCTCAATTTTTGGTAGCTTAAAACCCTGCCTTTACAGCTTATCAGGAAAAGAAGCGTACACAACATTCATTGGTCTCTCAAATCCAAGCTTAAAGAGATGTAGGATTCAAAGGTCGTATGAGTTACTACCTTAAATGTAGTAGTCACCCACAGGAGCTGAATGCTTCAGAACTGAATTCATTTTCTGAAGCATAAATGACACAGTATGTGACAAATGTAGCTTTCTGATTTTATATAGCATTTTCAACCCCCCTTGTGTTTAGAAAGTGCTCATTATGTTTGCTTTCTGCCTTATAGATTGTGTTTTATGTCATTAAGGCTGTAAACATTGATAATTGTATCACATGATGGGCTTAAAAAGAGGGACAGATTGAGAATACTCAGTTCAATCTCATTCCAGTGAGTTGACCCTTCAACGCCTTACGATATTATATTTTATCTACGAACACAATATGTATTATCCATATGAGAATGCCAAATGTCAATGTGATACTCTAAATAATATTTAGTCCATAGATTGCAACTAAATTATTTTTTGTTTGGCATCTAATCACTAAAAAATTATGGTGACATTTTAGAAGACAGAAATGTCACAAGGGTAGAAATGATTCAAATATCATATCACCAATATGTCCATTTTTAAAGAATTACTTCATAGATATAATAAACTAAGAATGTAATTATTTTGATATAAAAAATTATTATATTTTATTACCAATGCATCATTAATGTAGTATCAAGATTTTCAAATGCATAATGTTTGTTAATATTTTAACATATGAAAAACAACTCTTCTATCAAAAGTTTTAACATACAAATAACAACTCTTCTATGATCATATTTATAAAGTTAGTATATTAATGTGCAAAATATATTACAAAACGTTTTATTGATGAAATAAAAATAAAAATACATGAAATACATTGGTTGTATTAAAAATTATTTTAAATCAATTACTATATTGGAAAAAATATAATAGTAAAAATTATTCTAAATGCATTACAAACTACAATTGCATTACAAAATATTATGCTTCCACTATACAATTTTATTTTATAAAATATTTTAGTTTTAACATTGAATTATAACATCGAATTCTTATTCTATGTAACAATTATAGATTAATGTCAATAAATCAATTAAACAAAAGTAATAAGAAAAAAAAAAAAAAAAAAAAAAAAAACCATGTCATAGCTATAGTTGTACTTTGATTTATTTTCTTTTACTTTATTTATATTATAAGTGACTTAGTATAACTATTTACAGAATATTGGTTTATTTCTCAAAATAATCACCAAAGCTATGTAGTTGGTAGAAAGTATTTTCAAATAACAATTAGTTATTAGTTGTAACTTATATGTTTGTAAAGAATATTAAAACATTAAAATTCAGAATTTAAAACTATTCATGATGGATAAAAATATCTAAAAATAAAAATTGTTAAAATTAAAACTTCAAAAATTTATATCTTGTCATAGTTAAAAAATTTATTGCACTTCATCCTTTTGTCACTCTATTGGTAGTTTCTACAAAATTATCTTCATTGTGATATTATTTATAGATTTATATTTATATTTTTTAATTAATTTTTTTGGATCAACCTCTTGTTGGATTGTCTTTTCTTTTGTTGCATTGCTAGTTCTTGTACCTTGTTAATTTTCATGTCAATTTTTTTTCCTACTATAATATTATATTGGTTTATCTAATACCACCTTTTTTAATTAAATTCTTTTATTGACATATTTTAATTACTTATATTCACTTTCTTATTAGAATGTTTTTCTTTTATTAGCATTGTTTACATTCATCTCTTAATAGTTTCAACACAACATTTTTTTTCTTGCTTATTAAATTTAGTTACCTATCTTTCTTTGGTAGCTATATTATTTTCTTTGTCACTTAGATGTTTAATTATATTCTAAGCTTTTTGCACTTTCACACCTATGATATTTACACATGCATACTATTATATATATAATCACCTTAATAAACACATTGTTATTTTTATATGATTAAATCAACATACCATATTTTTATATTCTACATACTAAGAGAGTGAAAAAAAAAATCCTCTTTGATATCAAATTGCAAGAGGTTGTCTGAGCTATTGCTACTACTTTTTATCTTTTTAAATATATTAAAATGCCATAAAATATCTTAGAATCTTTAAAGACAATATTACAATATCTTTAAAATTAGATTTTTTTATACAACAACTTATATTTTTAAATTATTTTTTATATTATTTATTTCTAAGCTAGTTTAGTAAAAAAGTTTATGAAATGTAAGATTTTAATATTTTATTTTATTTTATTTTATGTTTTGAATTAGAAAAATTATATGAGTTGCATAATAATTGAGATTTTCTTCTCTCAAAGACAACTCTACCAAGAAACTTTGCATGAGACTTATCTCGTTAGATTTCACCGATATATGTTTCTTTGTGGTTCTATTTAGTTGTCAAGCTTGTGGAGTGATTCATGACATACAGAATGGAGACAGAGAATTACCCAAATAGGAGTCTAACATACAAGTGTTGTGGATATGGTAAATGGAGTGTCAAATGTACAGGCATTTAACTATACAAAAAATAATCAGGCAAACAGTTGTCTCCTACTGGACTCCACCACTGAGAGTGGGTTTTGCCTACAGCAAGCACTTAGATCCCGCACTGTCTCTTCTATAAGATCCTTAACAATCATTTTCTCCACCGTAATGCCAACATCTTCGAGCTCCTTGTTGTAATCCGACCACTGCTGTCCTCGCCCTCTCACCAAATCCTTCTGTAGGATTACATATACTGTGTCACAAACATCCTCTGAGGCTGCACACGGAATGTCTAGCAGCTCGGCAAATACTTCTTTTAAGAGTTGCATCCCCGTAGGCCTCTTCCGCAACCTTGGCTTGACTAGCCTAGTCAATTGCATGCAATCTAGTTGAGTCTCCAGCAACTTTTCCAGCACCTCGTTGACACAATCGAAGAGAACACGCCGGTCCAGTATATCTCGCTCGTCACTCTCAAAACGACTTCGTTTTGTCTCTAATTCGTCGAAGATGTCGAGGTCCAGTACATAGCCCGTGGAACTGTTGAAGAAGCCAGAGGTATCGCATCTACCTTTAAGCTCAGAAGCTTTCACAAGATCTTCCACATATATTCTCTCTGCATCCGCATCCCTCATACAAGCAAGAAACCTGTTTTGGTTTTTGAAAACGTTTGTTGGCATCGGAATATGTTGATCTTGAACGTTTGAATCAGTGTCCACTGCGGATACAGTCTTCAATTTTGATTGGAGGTCATTTGCGTCTGGAACATTTTGCAAAGCTGGAAGGGGTGTGTTTTCGAGGTCAAGATCCAAAAACCTTGCAGAGTTCCAGAGTCTGTCATCCTGTGGACTTAATTGATCTGCACATGTACAATTCACCACAAGATGTAAGGCAACGTTGGTTTTCTTTGTCAAGGGCGAGGATCTAAATGCCAGGATCTTACAAAAATCTAGGTTTGAACAGAAAAAAAATGAGTTGGAGATAACAGTGGGTGCTGACCTGGAAGGGTGACAACACTGGACTTGCCCGCTTTGGGACTCGGCGTCAGCTCCTCATCAAAATGGGAGTTATCCAATACAGAAACTGGACTCGGTTGCTCAGCAGCGTCAGGTTGAGCATCCTCAGAGAAGTCAATCTTCTTAATTGAAACACCACGAGGTGTTTTCACCACCTCATCGATCTCTATTATCTTCTCTCGGGTCTGCACATGAACCCGAACATCAATACAGAACTAAATCAAACGAGCAGCGAACGAAATTCTTTTTCATTCTTTCTTTTCCACTAATAGGGTGACGCTCTGCAGAAATATAAGGACATGGCTCACCTTGGACCCTACCGTATGTTCTCTTTCATTTGAAGGAGTTGTATCTCCGCTGTGGTCTAAAGCTCCACCAGGAGTAGCCCGCACGATCTCCGACATTAAACTTCTTTCCCGAGCAATCTGAACTCCAGGCTTCTGTTCTTGAGTTGATCCTGGAACACTCTTGCTTAAGGATGTTGGCCTATTTGCACGTGATGTCTGAAACGGTTGATCTTTTGCAAAGGTAGTTTCTGCGACGACGGATTTAACGTTCACATCAAGATTTGTGGGACGAGTCTTCGTAGGCGACTTGTAAACTTTAGAAACGGGCCTCTTCGATCTCAAATTCACATTAGAAGACACCTTATCGCGTGATGGTTTCGGAGCTGGAATGTCAACAGCGATAGGTTTCTCTGCAATTTTGGAAGGAATCTTGCTCTCCGAGCCACTTCGCCGAAATGGTCTAGGGGTATCCGGATCACCACTCGCCCTCCCCTTGAGAAACTCTTGCTTTGTTGCGTTGGCTCTAAAGTTTGCAAGGGTAGCTTTTGTCTCTACTTCCTTCCCAACAAATGCTTTCCTACGCACTTTACCTGCATCCACTGAACGGTTTGCGGCTTCCAAGCTGCCAGGGGGACATCTGGGGGATATGGAACTGGCCGAATCTAGTCGAAGGGAACCAGACCGAGCAGACTTCTCCTGCATCGATATGGTAGCTCGAGGACCTCTTGGACTTGACGAATCTCGCCCACTCTGTGAAAGATCTGAATAAGACTTTGACGTGCGAGCTGCGCAACGCTCTTTCCTGGCCTGGCGAAGAATTGCAATGCTATTTGAAGGTACTTGGCCCAGCGAGGGCTCCTGCACTGGAGCCTTCAGGGACATCTCGTTGAAAACCACCCTCTGATTATAAGCATCCTTGCTCAATCCACTGCAGAATATGGAAACGGAGCCATGTCAGGGCAGATCAATGCACCTCGGACCAATGCTTTACTCAAAAGAATTGAATGCAACTTACAACATATGAATCTATAAGGTAGCAAGAATGATAAACAAAAGGTTTACCTCCTCATGTTTTGGGGAAGGATTTCTTTATTGGAATTATACGCTCCTTCGACCACCTTGCTGGACACCACCATAGCTGGTTCAGTCGGAGCAGCTAAGGATTGAGCCTGCGACTTGTAAGACGCAGACCTGGTGATAATGGGTTTCACTACCTCGGGCGACACTTCATCTGCTTCCAAAGCACAAGCTTTCTGACCTTGGTGAAACTCAGAGTCCTTCTGCTCCACACCTCGAGGATTGGCAGTTGCTAGGCTAACTTTGGGAGGGTCCTGGTGATCCAGATCCATCCGGGCTGAACAGCGAGGAGGAAGGGACTGTGACCTAGCCCTCGTCTCGTGGTACTCTGCCTCCTCCGTCATCTTCAGACTTTGTACCCTCAAAGCCTCTGCATTCTTCCGACGAGAAGAGCTATAAAACACACCCTTGAGCTGCATGGCCTCAAAGATATGCCACAGCGATCTCCTTCCTTGAGGTGACTTCCGCACTTGGCATTGCTCCTTGGGATCCAATTCATCACTCTTCGATTTGGAGATGTAGCTATCCTCAACAGACTGCTTGACAACAACGGCCGAGCGAACTACTGAACTCTCGTTTTTTGCAGGTGAAATGATGGGCTGATGTGCCGCATTCGGAATTTTCGGTTCGGAAAATTGGACCTTAGGAGTAGAGAAATGGGCCTGCCTTAGAGAATAAGGATCTTCAACTTGCCGAAAATCCGGATGGCAAGATGCATTTTCTTTCCAATGACGGCTGTGGTAGTCTTCATGGTCAGAGGATCGGTGCGCGTAGTCGTAGTCATCAGGAGGAGATGGCGGGGGAGGTGGAGAGCCCCCTTGTAGTGGATGGCACTTCAAAAACTCCTGGAATAGCAGATCAGCCTCGTTCGTGCAGCTTCTCTCTACAGCACGTTTCACACCCAATGGCAGCTCCTTGGAGCTTGGCAACTCGTCTAATCCCATCAACCGAGCAATCACATTTGATGCCTTGGGGCGCTTGCCGGCGTCTGAACTTTCCCTCCCGGACGACTGCCGGTAGAACTGCGTGATTTCAATGCTCTCCTTCAGCTCTGTCCGATCGAGTTTGTCCAGCTTCAGCTTGCGCGGCACAAGCATACCTGTATTTGCCAGGTCGCGACCGTCGACGGACAACCTTGGGACAATGCACGCGCGCGACGCGTCTCGAGTGCCATCCACGGAGAATCGATGGCCCTCTTTCGGTCCACCTTTCTGAGGGGTTCGCAGAAGCTCCTTGGCTTCCGTAGCATGGAGGGAGTCCTTGAAATCTGGACGTGCCAAGGAGAGATCGCAGGTACCTCGGGAACGGCCAATTAGCCGTGGGGATACCGACACCTTCCCATCTACAGACGTCCGTCGATCGTCTCCCGACACCGACAACCGGGGACCTTCTTTCAATTCCACCGTCAATCGGATCGCGTCTCGCCCTTCACCCGCATTTTGGTGCTTTGATATCGGAATCCTTGGAAGCTGCTCCGAGCTCTGCTGCTTGAGCAGATCCTTCTCCTTAACATTCAGCCGCGGCGACCCACCCGAGTTTCGAAGTCCATCCTTCCAATCGGTGATCATCCGCGCAGCTCCTCGCCCACCCACAGAGGTAGACCGAGGTAAATCAGCTTGTTTCTGACGTGCTCCTCCAGTGTCTAACCTACCGTCCACTGATAACCGTAGCCTGTCTATCCCGTCAACAGAAGAAGACCTGGGCAAACTCTTCAGAAAGCCGTGGCTATGGCTTTGGTTGTGACGCTCATCGACAGACAACCGCGGCTTGTCTCGGGAGCTCGCTAAATCCTCTCGCGCTCGTTGATCCCAGTTGAAGGAAGCGCGCACTACATCGCGGATGTCCGAGCCGTCAGCTTTTGGCTCAAAATTTGCGCGAGTTGATGTCGCAACAGTAAGCCTCTTGCACTCAAGGACGCGATCACGGTTGGGATTCTTGGAGGAGGCGGAGTTAAGGGTGCTCTCGCGAATTGGATCGTTGCAGTAAAATGCATGCCCTTCCACGCTCTCCTCGGAATGCATCGGGGAATTGTCGAGCTGAGATTTCTCATCGGGTGAAGTTCTACTTTCCGTAGGTGTCTCGAAGGATTTAGTGAATATTTCACTGCTGTCAGAGTAGGCCCTGTGATGGTGTTCTCGTGTGCCCTCTGGAGCAGTGCCTTTGGGGCGATCGAAGCTGTCACCAGAAATTCTCTGCGACGAGTCGTCCTCAAACTGCAGACCAAGAGATTCTCAAGGAAATTAATAATAATACTAGTGTTAATTTTATAGTGCATCCTTACTATATATATTCTCAAAAACTAAACCAAATTAAATCAGAAGTAGATGAGCTGCTGACCATCCAATACGGGTTGCTGCTGCGGTCAAGGCGCGGCGTCTCGCAGGCCGATGTGGGTTGCGATTGCCCTGAGACACAAAAATTATAACATAATTAAATTTAGTTTATTTTTTCAGCGTGGAAAAAACGTTAGAACTAGCTGCAGGTTAGGGGAAATATTGACAGATCATGGAGGTGGAGCACGTACCACTGGCAGCATTGCTGACACGCTTGGAGCCGTAGCGGCGGCCAAGGCCTTGGCGGTCGAAGATTTGGAAGAGTCCTGTCATGCAGCCGAGCTGGTGTTCCAATGCCTTGGGGTCTTCCGCCAAGACTTTGAGAAGGTCTCCAGATACTGGCATTGCGACGAACCCCGCTATAACTGGGAGGATATGAAAGGGTTAATTACTGAGAAGATTTCATCAGATCACAGGCAATGAAAAAACCGTTTTCGTCTGCGCAAACACTTTGTGGCGCAGTGCACTCTAACATACTGCACGTCCTCAAGAAAGAGAATGGTCAGTTCGTCACTTCGCTTCCTTCTTCTTGTGAACAATAAAACACCAGATCGTTTACTGTGAAGCGAAAAGATTCCTGGTGAAATTCATTGATATTTCAAGTAGACGTGGAGGAATGTTAGATTGAGTACAATTGAATGCTGAGATAGGAATTCGCTCATGCTGCTAATATTCAGCGACAGAGTAATTCTTCCTATCCAATCCTCCTGATACAATCGATTCCACACGTTGGAGTGCCGAAAATGTGACCTTCACAGCTGTTTGAGTGTGCATCCAGCCTCTTACAGTCAACACAAATTGCACTTCCACCCTGGTTTCAGAAGCTCTACTCTGGTATAATACACGTTTGCATCTTGTGCCTGAGGACCAGGCCCACCTCTGGTGCTACGTTGTCTACCATACCTTCTGGAATCTTGGTGGAATGTGAAGGGATGCACCAAATACCTATGCGTAGGAGCACAGAGAAAGGTTGAACTTATCACACAACACCACTGTAGACTCCTATTGAAAGGCCACGAAGAGAAGTGTATTACACTCGGAAAGACAAATTTAGCGACCTCCAAGAAGAACAAATTCTGTCACTCTTACAATCACTGAAAACCAGAAAAAATATATAAAAAGCTCCGCTCCTCATCATACTCGAAATCTTTTAATCAGCCCTACAGGAACGTATCCATCCATAAGGGGATAGCATCGGCACACACACTCCACCTTTCACAACACTTGACTCAGCAACGCGTTGCTCCACGCATCATCAAAACGACGTTCAAAACATAACTCGACACAGGGCACACAACCTACAGCTCTACCCTCCTGTACATCAGACTCTACAGACATGAACTGTTGCTCTTGGTTCATTCAGCTTGAGATTGTTGGTCTCAATCATGGAACCAGTATCTCCTGTGCAATGCTGCTGCAACTATTAGGCTGGCGTGCTACAATACATCCTTATGATTTCCACATGTTAATGTAAGAAATGGCATTGGTTTGTAAACAGGGGAAGAAGGAGAGGAGTGGGGGGGGGGGAGGGGGGGGAGACAGCTGGGGAGTGTGAAGGGGAAGGGGAGGAGGGGGCTAAGTTCTTCTAGAGATTCACAGTCGTCACTTATGAGCCATATGCTATGGCAGCTCTGTAGCTAGTGTAGAGTACTCCTCTGGTACTGCCTGCTCCCTCGCTGCACTACGCTCCCCTCCGGACAATCTACTGTCTGCGCATGCACAATCTACTGTACACACACTCACACACACTCCTCCACTGCTCATTCTTTCTTCTTTTGCTTCCTCTTTCCCGCGTCGGCTCCCAAAAGATCAGCGTGGCAACGTGGAGGGCCCCACAGGAAGCGTCTTTCGGGAATGATACCTCGCGCACTCGGCCACCATCACAAGAAACGCAGCAAAAGCCGAAAGCGAATCGGCACGGCGGAAGAAGTCCAAACGCAGCAGAGCACACAGCACACAGCTCATCAGCGCTGCAGCAGCAGCACAAGAGGGAGAGAAAGCGAGAGAGAGAGGGGTGGTCCACCATCCATCCCCTGCAAACTGCTAAAGAATGTCAAGATCTGTGATTAGCCCTGTCGTCGTGATGCAGATCCCCCTCCCTCCCCTCTCCCTCCCTCCCTGTGTCTTTCTTTCACCATCATTTCCCACTACTTACCTCGTTTGAATCCCAACCCCGCCCCCGCCCTTCTTCCCTTCCTTTTTCCCTTATCTTTCTTTCTCCCTTTCTTTTTCTTTTTCTCTTGGGTTTTATGATTTTGTTTCCCTTTTGCTTCTGTGCAGTGTAGTAGCAGTGGCACTGTTGCACTTCCACTGCCATTTGGGGCACCATCAATAGATGCAGTAGTAACTGGTGCTCAAGGGCCAAGTCTCCTTCTCAGTAACCAGGCTGCAGCCTGGCTTGGCTGAAGAAGACTCGCCCCTCTCTCTCTATCCACTGCCCAGCAGGAATGGGGGAAAGAAAAAGTAAAAGTTAAATCAAGTTTATCGAAGAAAATTAATCTTAGTAAAACTTTAGTAGATAGATGTCTTTGAAGTAAATGTTTTTTTTATCAGTTCTAATTTGAGACATAACGTAGTAATTTGAAGTATACTTTCTTTATGATTTTTTTTTGAATTATACGTAAACTTAGAATTAAGTTCAAAACAAGAATATAATTTTGAAAAGTTTTCGAAAATAGTTAATCTCGAAAATAAATTCATTTTTAAAAAGTTAAAACAGTACTCAGCAATTGTGTCATGTAAAGCAAAGACAAAACACATGCATATATACAAATGGATTTAAGCTTGGATATTGATGTCAAACACTTAAAATTTCTTTGGATGTTTTGAAGTTTAAGTCGCCAAGTACTTAAGTATATGTAATAAATCAATTTCTAAAGAAACAAAGCTGAAAATCTTCAAAACATCTGGAGAAAAATACATGCCAAAACATTCTTCAAAGTGAAATTAGCCTGTGTATAAAATGTGTATAAATACACTTTCTTGTACTGTGTGATGTATTTACATATGTACGTTGTACCTTGTTGTCTAAAATATATAAGTCCTGTGATCAAGTTTAAATTGAATATCAAATATTAAAATGGGAGCAAAAACTACCATTAAATGTATAAAATTAAAGTGCATATTGTGACTCTTAGGCACTAGAAATTTAACACATACTTCTGAAGTCATTGTCAGTAAAGACTCAATCGGATATACTTTTTAATTTTTTCCGGGCATATATATATATATATATATATATAAAAATGCGGATCATGATAATTTGAAGAATGTAAATAGTGTTTCATGAACACCCTTCTCTTTTATATATATATATATATATATATATGTGTGTGTGTGTGTGTGTGTGTTGATATGATTTAAAATTAGTAGAATATCAAACATTCCAAAAAATCAAAGACACTGATGTTTACCAGAACATAACCTAATAAATAAATAAATAATTGAGAAAATTAAGGGGTTCACAAGAATAAATTTTATGTATACACACACACACACACACATGTGAATTATACATACATTATCTAATATAACAAGACTACTTGCAAAAAAAAATAATGAGAAATTTATCATTATTAGCATACAATCAGAATGAATAGAAAAACACCGAGCACACACAATTTAAATTTCATCTATTACCCATGGATAAAAGAATCCAAAGAGCTAGTAATGTGTCAACCACATTGGAGAGACCCCACCTACCAAACCCATCAAATTCTATTCACATTCATTCCCCTGAGGCATGAAGAATACACATTCAGAAATTATAAATAAATACTTCATCATGTGGCCATACACTAATACTGAGGCTACTCTAAGTAGGTATGCATATGTGTATATGAATGAAGAGAGTACTTGTACATTTGTTCATATGTATGTATTCATGTATAATGAGTGTATACGATACGATGTGACATGTCAGGTTGCCGTACACGGCAATTACGCTGGTGGGGAAGGGGAAGGGCGAGGACCAACAGGATCGACGATGCCAAGACGGCTATTTTTCTACAGCTTTTGGAAGTGGGTACAATGATTATTCCATCTTGCAATTATTGATGACATGGCAATTTCATCAACCCCTTCTTGTATCCCTCACAATCAAGAGAAAGAAACTTTACTTTTAATATTAATTTTCAATTGTGACATGAAATCTACAAAAATAAAAATAAAAAGAATAAAAAGTTGTGGGCTTTTGAGTTGTGGATGTGGGCTACAACGAGCTCTGTTTTGCATGTTGGCTTGCAATAATCTTTCTTTCACACATGTGCGCACTCACTTGTCCTCTTCTTCTTTCTTTTTGATAGTACTAATAATAATAATAATAATAACATGTTTGTTTCATAACTTAAATGAGTTCCAAAACAAGGTGATGAATTTCTTGATGATAAATTCTTGTTTATGAGGAAATAATAATAACAATAATAATAAATAAGAAAAGGATAGGGAAGGAATAGTAAGAACTGGAAAGATTTTCAGTCTCTTTTTCCTCTTTCTATTTGTTTTGGTTATTTGCAAGTATTTGAGAAAATTTAGCTTCACAGTGAGAGCTGTAGTGTATGTTTGCATCTTTGATAAGTCAATTGTTAAAAATAAATTTGACCAAAGACTAAGGACACATGTTTAATGTGTTCACACAAAAAATTCCATATCGTCGGATTGTGAGCTTGTAGTATACGAGTTGAGAACAAAGAGGCTTACAAAAGGCCTTTTAATCTGTGTGCATGCCCTGAAGTTAGAATATGAGCTCATATCTGTTTACCCAATATCTCAATGACTAAAACAATAATTTGGTTTTTAAAAAGGCAGGAGTTCAGATCAAGTTGTAATTTTTCATTTCTAGATAGAGGAATAATATTGTCAAAAAGGGAGGATTTCATTCCATTCACTGGTTGTTATAATGAATTTATGATTCATTTCATAGTAAAAATCCTAATTTGAAATACTTAAATTTTAAAATAAATTAAAATGAAAAAAAATTAATTCATCGTATACAATAATTTTAATTTTTAAAATTCCACATACCATTTCTTATTGATATTCTAATTTTTAATGGTTTTTAATTTATTAATTTACAAAATTATTTAAATGACAAGTAAAAACCAAAAAAATCAAAACAATATTTCAAAGTTCCTAATACAGGTTGATACAGTATAAAAATTATGAATCAAGTTACAATGGAACATCAAATTAAATCTACATGGAATGAAGAAAACAAAACAAAATAAAGAAAAAAAAGAAAAGAAAAAAAAGAAAAGAAAAAAGGTTATACTTCAGAAGTTCACACAATTTTTTTGAGAATCTTTTTTATTAGAGAAGATGGAAAACAATGAAATAAATGATAAACAAGCTATTAATTTTTTGTTTTGTTTTGTTTTGTTTTGTTTTGTTTGTTTGTTTGTTTTATTTTTTGTTTTTTTTTATTTTTTTTGCAAGTGATTTTTGTTTTCAAATTCAAAACCTTAAAAATTTCTACTTCAAATTCTATGTAATAGTGTAAAATATTGTGCATATATGTATATACGTATTTATATGTATATGTATAATACACTACGACCTTAATTTTTTGATAAATGATTTTAAAATGTATAGTTCGATAGTACTACGTTATTTCTACATTCAATCTACATTATCTTTTTAAAAACATTCATTCAGTTTTTGGAATACCAAGTTAATTATTTATTTTTTTACTAAATCATATATTCCTTTTTAAGTCTAAATTCTAAAAAAATCAAAATTTTACTTCAAAAAATATATATAATTTATATTTTAGTTGATCTTGCACAAGGTTTGTCAGTGTTGTAGCCACTTGTTTTCAATGCAGTCAAAATGAATCTACATGAAATGGTTTTAAAATTAAAACATAAAACACTCAAAGAATCTTAAGCTTGTGCAAGTGCTCTAGTTTGTAAGAATCCATAAAAACATCTTCAATATTGGATGTGGATGACATGAATTGGACTTAAATTTTCTGATTTTCTTTCTCACATTCTTTCACAAGATTTCTTGGATCAATTTTACTTTAAAATATACTTTTTATACATTATATTCCATTCAATATTTTACTGTATTTTAGTTATTTTAAATTTAAGCATTAAGACTGTTTTAATTTATTAGCTTATCCAACTACAGCCATTTGAAATCATGCAGGTTCAAATGCAAGGCTTTAACATTCATTTTATTCCAAACATAAAGTCATGTGATGTTTAACAATCACCTTGCTACCAAACATAAGAGAATTTTCACCAAATTGACTTCATTTTTAGTAACTCCTTTTTCTTTAATTCTGTACTTCAAAATTAGCATAACTCGTTCCATCTTCTTTGCTGACAAACACTAATCACTGAAAAACAACAAACAAGTTTTGACGTTACAATATCATGTATTTTAGTACCTTTGATTGCTCCCATATGTTTGGGGTTGTGTAAAGCAAAGTACACTTTATCATGTGCTTAGGCAAGGAATAAGAAAAAAAGGATCAGATTACACCAGTTTGAAGGTGCTATCCACATTCAGCTGCTAAGTATGCACCCTTCAATGGGGT